CTGCTGCTGCTGGGGTCGCCGCGCGGCGTGGGCGCGGGGGTGGGCGCTCCTGCCGAGCTGCGGGTCCGCGTGCGGCTGCCCGACGGCCAGGTGACCGAGGAAAGCCTACAAGCGGACAGCGACGCCGACAGCATCAGCCTGGAGCTGCGCAAGCCGGATGGCACCCTCGTCTCCTTCACCGCTGACTTCAAGAAGGTGAGGTCCCCTCGTTCGCTGGGTGGGACCTGCGAGCCCAGAGCCTCCCCTCGGGGGCTCAGGCACACCTGAGTCTGCGGATGGGAAGACCCAGGCCAAGAGGGAAACGTGACTTGTCCAAAGTCAGGCAGGATCTTCCCTATACCCCATTGCCCCGCTCCCCAACGCCCAGACCCGCCCGGTCATTCTCAGTGAACTGCTGCTGCTTCCTCCACCAGCTTCCCAGCCTTTCACCACTTGTCTCTAGGTAGGGGCCCCCCTTCTCGTGCCCTGGCTAGCTGTCCCTCCAGCCTCTCCAGCTCTCCTAGCTGATCCTCCTTCAAAAGTTCCTGTTAACAGCTCCTCCCTGTAATTTCTCTGTGCTCCCAGGAGAGGTAACAGGCATCCTGGGTTCTCCCCATGTTGCTGTGTGGTCTAGAGCAACAGACAATGAGGTGACTGTACAGGGCAATGAGGTGACTTTGAGGGCTCCCAGCTCTGACACTTTGAGATCCCTGAACCACTTCTCCCTGTTTCACTTTCCTGGGAAGAGCTGAGTGCCCCTCCCAAGCCAAGGAGAAGTTCTTCCTCTTTGGCCTGGAAGGCCAGGACGCTTGCAGCTGGAGGACCTGGGGAGAGACCCCCAAGTGAGGCCCTTCATTTTGGAAGAGGTGCCACCCTTTACCCTGCCTGGCTGGGGCTGGCCAACCCCAAATTTGGGTCCAGATTGCTTGTAGGGGGTCAGAGATGAGCCCCTACTCAATGTGTGAATGTGTTGTGGAGAGGACCAGAAGAGGTACGTACAGTGGAGGTACTTTGGTATTCATCAGGACATGTACCTGAAAGGGCACTGGGTGACTAACAGTGACCCAGTAGCAGGAAATGGTGTCAAAGAAAGTCTCCTGATCTCCTACCTCCATCCCGTTCCCTAGTAACAAAAAGGCCCTGTGTAGCTCTGTCTCTTGGGGGGGGGGGCACAGAAATGCGGTGGATTAGATGACTGTGCTGCTGTGGAAGCCAGGACCAGGGCTGACCACCTCTCCCTCCTCCCTCCTAGAGACTGGGAGCTGGCCTGGGACTTTGGGAGCATAGAGGTAGAATTTGGGGAGTTGGCTAAGAATCCAGTGAGATTGCCATGGATAGTAGGCATCAAGAAGATCCAGTGGAAGGTAGAATAGCAGGTAAGGCTCCACTTCTAATCTGTCCCAGGACCACCAAGTTGTCACTGTCATAGGCCTTAGCTGGTGGGGGAGCTGTCACAGATGGGAAAACTAGGTGGTATATCCTTACTCCTCAGGCCCAAGCTAGATTGGTAGCTCAGATGGAGGTAGGAAAGATGAGTTTTTGTGAGGAGAAATGGAAGTTGATAGGGCCTGAACATCCCTTGTGTCCATTCTGAATTTCAGGGGAATTTTTTCGATGATGTTTTCTCCTTGGAAAACCCAAAGTGGCTGAGTTCATCAGCAGTCAGGAATCAAATTCTCCTTCTAAGCCCTTTGACCTTAGAGGTGAGCCTCAGGCCAGGCTGTATGTCTGGAAGGCCACCCTATTCACTGGCCAAATACTGTGGCTACCCTGGAACCCTGGATACTTGCCCATTTTTGGGACCTCTCCAGTACCCAAGGCTGAGGCTGTGGCCAGGGCTGTGAAAGGCAGGGGCTGGGCTGGCTGCGGTGGGTGGGGTTGTACTTTTACAGCCTCTGGCTACAGCTGGAAGGTTTTTTTATTGCTGGGCCCTGAAGGGAAAGGAGAAGGAGAGCCCAGCTGTAATAGGGGTGGTGGTGGCTGTCTGTGGGGGTGAGGGCCTGGGGCCCGAGACTGAGTATTATGGGAGGCACCTGACTGCCCAGTAAGAGAGTGCATTTGAGCTGATGGCTAGCGACTCATTTTAATCCTCAGAGTGGTTCAAACTTCCAGCCAGGTTTCTGACGTCTGTTTTTCAGGTTAGCCTCTGACCCAGAAGCTGGCTCTTCACACCCGCCCTTGGCATCTCCAATTTCATCAGCAAGGGAGGGATTTGGTAGCGGAAGGCACAAAAGGGAACCAGCCCCAAGGCCCCTCCAACTCCAGGCTTCTCGGTTGGCCTGGGGCAGGGTGGCATTGGGGTGTACAGGAATTAGGAAGGCATAGTCTACCCACCTCCGTCCACGTCTCCATCAGCCAAATCCCGCCCCAGCCCTTTCAGTCCCTTCTGCTGGCTCACTTCTCAAGGTCTCATATCTTATAGTCTTTGGCAGATTTCCACCACAAAGTTCTTTCTAGAAGTAATGATTTTTCCTGTAAGAAAAAGGCCTGGAATTGTGATTTTGTGTTTTGTGTACCAAAGCCACTTTGGGGTGGTTTGGGAAAAGTTCTGAATTCACCGAGGACAGTAATGTTTGCCATCTAATCACCTTTGGGAGAGACAGTCCTGATCTAATGAGACAGGCCTGGTTACCACTCTAGCTGGTTAATCCTGAGCCAGCTCTTCCATCTGTCTGAGCCTTCATTAAGAAATGTAGAAAGCGGTCACTCACAGCCCCCTCTTGGCTATTGGCACCTGAAGAGGGCCCACTTCACTCTTCTGCATCAGAATACTTAGGTGCTCAGGAAGTAGAGAAGCTTTGCTTTGCTAATTGTGGCTCTAAGCATTTAGCCATCATCCTCCCTGCCATCATCACCTTAGGCTCAAAGGGGTCAAATGACTGACCTGAGGTCACAAAAGTCAGTGCCAAGGTCAGAAGGGACTTGAGTCCCTCATCATCACCTTGGAGCTTTTTGGGTCTCGAAAATTGCTGGCCAGTCCCTCTGGTCTGGAGTGACCATCCTTGTCCTAGACGCAGGGCTACAGTAAAAATCCCCCTGTGCTGGACAGAACATAGCCCTGTCCTGCTGATCCCACCCCCCAACCAGCCCCCTCTCTCCAGCTCCTCCCAGCTCCCAGGTTTTGGTTCCAGTAACATCTGACTGTCCTCCACTCTGCCATTGTGGACCTGCCACTGGAACCCAGGCTGGGTTCTCAGATTCCATGATCAGTGTGGAGTGTCATATGGTTGTCATGTGTCACTACAAGCCTTGCCTTAGGCTGACTGAGCCACCAGGCTGACTGAGCCAAAGCTCTGAAAGAATGTCATGCTTTACTCAGAGGCTCCCAGCTTTACTGCACAGTAGAATCACCTGGGGACTTTTGAAAACTTCCCATGCGTAGGTGGCACTCCTTCCTCACGGAATCTGAGGGTGCACTCAGGCAGTGGTATTTTTTAAAGAAATCCAGGTGATTGCAGTGGGCAGCAAAGTCTGGGAACCTCTTGGCCTAGCTGCTGCAGGGAAACAGAGGGCACCTGAAGGAAGAACCAGGTTCGACTGTGAAGTGAAAGTGAGCCTAAATTTAGCCACATATTTGAAACCCAATGCTCTACCCCTAATAACCCTAGGGCTTGGCTTTGGTGCTGGGGCTGGAACCCAGGACCTCAAACCTGCTGAGCATGTGTTCCACTGCTTACCTACATCCACAGCCCCCCCCCCCATGTGTTGTAGGCAACACATATACTGTAGGCCTAATTCTCTGCCCTGGGTACCTAAACTTTAATTCCTAATATACACTCAACAGGCAATAATAGTCTTCTATATAATCCAGATCCTATATATGTAATTAGACCTGTGTGTTCATAACCATTGGGCATGTCTAATAACAGGCATGTCACCATCCCCAGTCTCTCACCTGGATGCTTGTCTCACAGCTCTCTTGGTCCCCTCACCCCCAGCTCCTGTCCCTGTCCAAGCTCTCATTTGCCTCTGTCCCCTAGTCTGAGTGTCCAAAAGCTGGGGAAAGGATGAGTCATGTTCCAGGCAGCCTGGTTTGGTGCTGGCCGGATGGGGAGGGTGGGGCTGAAAGATATGAAGAAAGTCATGTGTGACTGCATCAGGCGGGTGGGTACATGGGATGGGAAGGAGACACTCTGAAAGTGAGGGAGTAGGAGGTCATGGGGGCCCTTGGGCTGGAGTCTTGGACGGAAGACCCAAATTAGGGAGCCACATAGCACTGGGGATGAGTTCAGCATCACAACGAAGGGACAGGGACCAGGGAAGATTGAAAACTTGTACCCTGCCCTGGGCACTGATGGGAAAGTAGGAGCCAGAGGAAAGAACTGTCCAGGGAGTGTCGGGGTTCCTGTCCTGGGGCTCTTGGTCTGGAGGGCAACCCAGAAAGCCACGAGATATAGTCAGTGGGGATTTGCAAGGTGCACCCAGCCATGGTGCTGCTTGAGCCTGTTTATTCCAAGGGATGTCACATCACAGCAGAGGCTTTGGGGGCTTAGCAACCCCCTACCCTGTGTTAGATCCCCTGTGATTTGGCATGGAGGCATGTGGTAGAAGGGAAGTCTCCCTAGGGATCAGAGGGCAGTAGAAGTGCTTTCAAAGGAGACCCAGAACTTTCTGAAACACAGGGCCTTTTCTCAGGAATTTATGTGAAATCTACAAACAGGCTTGTGTATGTCTGACCCGTCCCTCCTCTGCACCTGAGGAACTCCTCCTTAGATCAGGATCAGCAGTCCTGTCTGGAAGTTCAAGTGTGCTACCTGCACCTTGACCAGCATTTCCCACCCCCAAGGGCTATGTCCCAGCAGGGTACTATGAAAGACCCCAGGACAACCATGAACATCACCACCTAGAGACAATGGTGTGGACTGCTGGAGAGACAGTGGGGAGAGAAAGAGGTGGAATTCTTCCTCTCTGTCCCTAACCTACAGAGGTAGTGCTGAATAAGCTGGGTTAGATGCCTGTTCCCCAGACAGGCAGGCAGAGGGCCCAGCTGGGAGATTGCCCACTTGTCTGCTGTCATCCACTGAGCACTTCTTCAGATAGCACTCACGGCCTGTGTAGGTCCTCAGCACTGCATCGTGAGGCACTGATTGCCTCCAGGGTGCAGATTGCATACTGAGCTCAGCAGTCGCTTTGACAAGATCAAAAAGGTAGTGATCCAGGATTATGACCCAGGGATCCTGTCATCATATCCCAACCTCCTGGACTTTGGTGGCACC